CTCGGGTGTTTTACCTTTAAATCACTTGAGACATGGTAAGCAAGTTGGATGGACTGCATATCAGTTTAAGACCGCAAACTTAGATCGCGGAATAAGAAAAATCTAACCAAGCATTGGGATGGAGAAGAACAAGAGGAACCTTGATTTTCCTGATGAGGTAAGGAGTGATGTCTCTTGCATTGTATAATTTCGGATGCCATTTTCCTTCTGACCAGTCAACATGCGTCACCGACCAGTTTGCAATTCCACCTGGATCAATCATCTGAAAGAAAGAGATCATTGGCAAAGAGACTTTATGATGAGAGTAAAGGCAAATGACCAGTTTAAGGGTTAAAAGTGAGAAGAAGGTAGATGCAAAGAAGCAGTACACTGACATTGAAAAGAGTTGGGAAATAATGCTCGTCTGCATAGCAGTTGCGTCCTTCCATATTCGGCTGCGAGAAAACGTAAACCATTAGGGAAAAGGTCGCTTGATTCACACAATCGCTTACAATATGACATCGATAGTGAAATTACACTACATCTATACATATGTGCCAGCGTCCCACAGGTATCACCTCTATGCTATAAAGAGAAGAAAACATATGGGTTCAGTTTGAACATCACACGGCATTACAATTATACTCATAAGCTACAATCTCAATGGCTGGCTCACTGTCTAACTTGTTTAGATGACTAAGTTTGATCACCAATTATGGAGAACATAAAGATTATGAGAGATTGGAAGAAAGAACTATCACCAGATAAACTAGATACACGGTATGGCAACCTATCAATTCACATGTGGATATGAGAAACCATAAAAATGAAGGCTTGCTTACCCTACAATATAGCTTGAATTTGGTGTAGTAAAGGCTGTCCGCCATGACGACTATCGCATGTCTCCTCTTCATTGAAAACCACTGAGAAAGATGATTACAGAGACGCACAAGAAAATATCAAGCTTAAATAGAATTAACTAGAAAAGAAATGCAACCATCATTATTAGGACTGAGAAGCAAACGGAGGGATGATAAAGATGATAGCATGGAGAGACAAAAGGACACATCCATGACCTTTTTTTTTTGTCTCAACTGTTATATTCCTCATACAAATTCCTATTTTATAACCATTTTTCAGGACAAAAGGGGGAACTATGGTATCTTATTACATAACACATACCTGCGAGCCCTTTCGAAAATCCTTCTTTTCAACCTCAGGCAGCATATGTTGTGAATACCGACCACTTCCATGTGGTCCAGGATCCTCAAAACTGGAAAAAAAAACATGCAAGATGAGGATACATACCATCAGAGTGACGGGATGATAGCGAGACATAAAAGAGGTTCAACCGCATGAGTAAACTGTAGACACAATAATACATCTTACCAATCAATGAAGCTAAGGTTTGCGAAGATCAAATGATTATAGATATAGTTAAAGTCGAATAGCGGTACACAACTGCAGTTCACAACAAAGAAGATGGCAAAGTATGATTAATTAAGCATTTCATCATGACCTAAGGACACACTATATCAAAGGAATAATGATGCAATCACCTATCTGAAAGCAAGACAAAGTGTTGATTATCAGGATCAATGAGAGCATGAGCTAATAGCCTTCTTTCTGCATCAACCATCGATATCTGACCCCAAGCAACCTGCACAATAATATCATATTATCACTACTAGTCAAAATTTTGCTTACAAACCGACTGAGAGGCGTAATCAATTCTCATTTACCTTGTGACTGTGAATATCTCTACCAACAAAATAGCTGCTTGTATGTACAGGACTTTTCTTTGACGCATGCACATAAATTGAATATTTATTCTCATGACCCTGAATCAACAACAAAAGAACCACCAACATTTCACTAATTTGGATAAGAAATACATTTAACAAGTTAAAGATGAACGCCTAACTTAAACCAACAGAATCATAAGTGCACCTTGAATAGCTTTTATTGCAATGAGAAAATTAAAGGAAAATCTTACACGGAGGAACATTTCCCAGAGAAGCTCAAAAGGCAGAGTCCCTGGTGTTAAGAACATGAAGGCAATCTTCGGATTTGCTCGCTTAGACTCAGGTAAATTCATTATCTCATTCGTAACAACTTGAGCTGCAGCTTCAGTGTCAGTCAATTCCCTCGAAGGTACAAATAAAAACTGTTGATATAAAGGACATCCAGGACCAGAAAACATATAGCATGCCACAGAATTCCGCGGAGGATATATGAGTGCTGTGATGACAACGACTGTAACCAGAACAACCAAAGTGATAATCCATCTCGGGCCTTTAAAAGGAGGCCTTTGGCGAGACTCTGACATAACCACAACTATCTCTTAAGCTACAATTATATGTAACAAATTCATTTTAGTCTCCATTCCCTGAACACAAGTAAAAAATCTTTAATCATTGAGAGCTCATAACGAACACAGAAGATTGTCAAAGAGAAATGTACAGTGAACAATGTGCAAACATACAGAATTAACTCCACAAACCCATAACTCAAAATTGATTTGTTAAAACAGAATATCAATCAATCGGGAGATTCAATAACAAAACCACAAAATATCAATTTACCCACATCAAAAGATTCAGTCTTTTAAATCGGAAAGGATTAAACCGGAAACTGAAAATTCAATTTCCAATGCGTGTAGCAAAGATCGTCACTTTCGTCGTCAATTAATCAAATTTGCAGCTCTTTATATAAAGCGTAAGAAGCTGAAGCGTAAGAGAGAAGACGAACATCTAAAGATCGAACCGTGAAAAATCACCGGTGGCGCAGAGCCGCCACAACCGCCGCCACGAGCCTCGGCGGAAGAAGCGGAGGATATGAACAACTGCAGGAAAGCGATTAAGCTGAAGCGGAAAGATAATCTAGGAAGGAGAATCTGGAGATCGTGTAAAGATTCACTCAGTGAGATGGGCTAAAGCGAAATTCTCTGTCTCTAATCTCACACAAAACCAAAGTGC